CACCAATCCAGACCTCTTTTGACACCATTAACAGCCGATTCGAACAGCATCCTGTTTAATAGTCGGACCGGACGCTGGAGTGCAATATCAAGCAAGATGAACCAGTCCGACCGCGGTGTAAAGAACACTCCAAAACTTCTGTTTGCTATTGAGAAAGTATCGCCATTAGGACCGGGATTCGCGAAGCGCTTGACAGGGTAAAGAAGGAAGACCAAGTCCATCCACGTAAAAGCAATGATGTCGAACAAGTCAAGCAGACTTCGACAGAGAGCTTCTATAGATGTCCTCCCATCCCTCGGTGGCGTTATTCGGTAACTGCAACAGTCTCGTGATACGAGGAAAGTAAGGTCGAAATTGGCTCGGGGGATAGATTGGAGAAGTGTGATGAGATTGACTGGCCACTCTTGGAGGCGCGAATGCCAGTATGCGCGCATGTACTCACATTCTGACAGTACCCAGAAGGCCATTGCGAAGTGGAGCGTGCATTCTTGAACAACTGCGCTGAGGTCTTTGGGGAAGGTGGGAGGGACGCCGAGGTATGTTTGTGTCCAGATTGCGATCTGACCAACGTTGACAAGCGTCATTGAAAGTAGTATTTTGTATGATGTGGGAGGACTCGGGTCTACGTATCTTGGAAGATGATCGTTGGGATCGATAGAGTAGTCGTTCTCAGCATAGAACCTTAGGGCGAAGAATAGGGGAAACGCCATCCAGAGTAAGTGTACGGGAATCGCGAACCAGGGAAATCCTGCGGCGATGGTTTCCTCACGTAGAGGTCGCATCTGAAAGTAGAATACCGAATGTAGGGATAAAAAGCAGTAGACCGCAAAGCGAGTCTTTGTCGGTATCTCGTAACGCGGAATCACGTCAAGCGTATGACGAGTGGTTACAAAGTGCGGCATTGTAACGCTCGCAACTGGCGATGATGCAGGGAAGGACAGAATGCGCTTGTGCTGTAGAGGTGCGGTGACTGAAACCGAGTTCGGGAGATATACATCGTTGATCAAAAGCGAGAGTATTGTGAGGTCGTGCAAGGTCTCTCAGGGTCTGAAGCATACATTGGTAATGTGCGCGCGAATCGCGATGCGGTACCATGGGTTGCCGACGACACTGCATTGGCGTGCCACACACATCGCTCACCCCATTCAAGGAAAACCAAACACCCTGGAGTCTACATCGGTATCAAAAGTCAAATTTTGTAAATCTTTGATGGGATGTGAACTTCTGGGTTACTATTGCGTTTCTTGCTGTACTTGGGTATTGTGTCTTTTTCGGCATGCGGCACTCCTTCAATGTTCAGTCATGATCGAAACCGCGTCCTCGTACTCCTCTGATCCGGAACTCTCTGCGTCTTCTACCTCCACCTCCTCCTTCGTCTCAACATCATTATACGGACAAATCCCTCGTCTCTCACGCCACGCCCGCTCTACATCTTCCAGTCTCTCCGCACATTCGTCGCACGGCTTTAAGTGTAGCTCGACGCCTACGATTACTGGGCGATGATGGCGAGCTGATCCTGGGCAAGTAATGGTGTAAGTGTGTCTGTGGCAGTGGCAGGAGAAAGAGTGGATGGTCGCAGCGCAAATACAGTTTTCTGGTTTGATGTTGAGGGTTGGCATGGCTTATGTCGGGGAGGTGGCGGTGCCTATTACCAGCGGTTGGGGGTAGTGAGGTAGGGGGGTAAGTGGAAAGGAGTTGCGCACAGTGTAGTTGTCAAGTTATGCAAGAGCTCATGTGAACGACGGGAAGGAATCACATGTCAAAGGATTGATGGTGCGAGAAGAGACTTGAATGCATGCAGAGCATTATCGTGATGCTGTGAAATGTCTTAGACGGTCACTGCGTACTTCGCCGCACCCCTCCCTCCCGTGCGAACAGTCCCCTTAATCCATCGCATTGTACATCTTAGTCCTTATCCTCTTGCTCGCAATGCATGTCTCGACGACACTGAACATGTTAGCGGTCCGCACTATGTTCAACAGCCTCCATCACAGCTCACTGTCCTTCCTCCTCACGCTGCTGTTCACCTTGCTGCTGATACCGGGTCAATTGGCGGAAATAGTGCTGCGCGAGCTGGTAGCGGTGTGTCTGCGGATTACAGCCTTGCGGAAATCCTTGAGTCTGTATTTGCTGCGTAGCCTTTCGGAATGCCAGCTGTTGGAACTGCTGCGCGTTCTCAGCAATCTGTGCCACTGCCCTCCCCGATAGATCTCTCACATTTTTCGTCTCCGTCCTCGCCAATTCCAGATCTTGCCTCGACTTCACAAGTTCCTGCTTCTGCGCTGCGATAGTGTCCTGGGCGGTACGAAGCTGGCGCTTGACTTCGTCGAGTTCGTTTTCCGCTGCCCGCTGGGCTGCATGGGCTTCCTTACTACACGAAGTCAGTATATGTCTCAACTGCACTACAGACAGTCAGAACTTACAGCATCGCGCCGAGCCACTCTAGCGGTGATGAGGGGGAGTTTGATGTCATTGTTGTGGATTTGGATGATGTAGTGGTGTGATGGTTTGTCCGATATATGGTAATGTTGGGAGAGGTAGGTAGTGAGAACGTTGAGGTTGCAAAGAATAGTATTCAGAGTGCATCTGTAACCCCATAGATTGCCAAACAACGCTAGCTTGATTAAGAATGCTCCTCTTTCCTCACTCACTACCCCCGTGACTTTACTGTCTGCCCTCATCTCTCCGTATCTCAACTTCTTTCGCACTTGCTTCCTGATGCTCTCTCAATAGACACGCATTGCAAGCTTTCTCGTATCGCACTTCGATGATGTTTGACTGCGCGCGGCTGCAGAGACCAAAGCGGTTTGGTGACGACGTCAAGCTTGCTGGGCACCAAAAGGTTCCTTTGCGGGATGTATGAGAACACGTGTAAATGACGAGTGTGTATTGGCACATGTTCAAGTAGTTAAAGCAGGTAGCTCGGGCGAGATCTAATCGTAGTTTCGGCGCGTGGTATGTTTCCAAGCGTGGCAGTAGTATATTGTTATTCTTGACAGCAGCTTATTACCGCTAAGTCATCTTCTCGGAGTGCTTATATGAGGTTGTCGTTGTGATGGACGAGCTTTTCACGTCTGGTGTGCCCATCACTCAACCAGCCATTCTATGCTATTGCATATTGACGGCTAAGGCAGCAGATGATTGTTTGCGTGAGCACATTTGATCAAGCTGTAGACGGTCTCAACACCAACGGTGTGAAGATGCTACCCACATCAATTTGCCACCGTACCCAGAAAGCGACGACACCAACAGGCACCACCTGGCATACCTTCCATGGACAACCTCGAAACCCAAATGTCGCGACGTGTTTGCAATAACATTTCAAGATGTAAGGACATTGTGAGAGATGAAATGGCACCTTCCAGAAGACACATTTCGGCCTTTAGGTTTGGGTAGCCACCGCACGAGGTCACCTGCTAAGGACATCCGACGTGGTTAGCCTCGGGTTTGGTTCCTGTAATCTGCGAGCCGTTTTGACAGGCGGGGATGCTGGCCAGACCCCCGTTGATGCCGTTTGCTATGCCTCAGGGCTGTTCCGCGCCCCGCCGTTTTCCCTTATCGATGAAACACGAGGGAGCGATAGGAGCGTGCCTGTATGGATGAGAGGTACCGCAATAAACATCTCATCTCGCGGCCTGTGCTCGGCATCGGAAAAGAAAAAAGGCGCATGAAGCTGGCCAGGTGTCTGGAATCTCGCTTGTCAAATATAGAGACTGGATGGGCGTCAATCTGGTCGTGGGAAAAGGCTAGCTGGCGGGCATCGTGAAATGGAGAGATGCGCGCCAATCAGGCGATATCTCTATTTCCTAGGTTGAAGCCTAGCGTGGCGGCCGATGACCAATCAACGCCCGCGTGCGCTCTGACCTGAAACAACGTGGAGCCTCCACCAAACTACCTTCACCCCACCACCCGTCGCTTGCGGGTTCACCTTCCTTCTCGAAGCGCTGCACCGGCACACATTCACCTGTCGTGGGGTCGCTCCAGGCTCGCTCTGGCACTTCGATGATTTTGTCATCCACTTTGCGTGCACTTTGCGCGATTTCTTACGTCACGCTTGTGGGTTCACGATGGGCGATGCAGAAAGCTTCACAATATCGCAATCACTGGCTCTCATTATCTATCGTTATTTCATCTCCACTTTCATCGCATCGATCTAGATGATGCCTAGCTTCCGTCGTTGTGTTGTAGATCAACGGCACACGGTCCTCTGACACTCAACGGCCCCTCTGATGTCTGAGGATGGCTAGCGTAGCCCTGCCATGCACATGTATTGCCAACTACCGACTAACAGACGCCGATCTTCGCGCCGGAGAGTACGGGAGGCTGCAGAAAGAGCGCGCTACGCCGCGACCACGCTGCGGGACGGGAAAGCCATGGCTGGCGGCTACAGCATCGGCCAGCGTTGAAACGCACATCCTACACCCATACAGCCAGGCTCGAAAGCTTGCGTGCGGCGTCGCGTGGAGTGGCGCTGTGTTTCGACACCTCGTGTGTCTCCTTCTCTATTGGCTCCTGTCGCTTCTTCCCTTCTAGGCCGGAGATTTTACAACGCTCAACAGCGTCTGTCTCACCACCTTCACCCGCCTGAATAAAGGGCCATGGCCGCGTGATATTGCAGTTTGTGTTCACATCCGGCTTGTGCGTCTTCACTTCTTCTCTTGCATTTCTTATTTTCTTGTAGCCTAGAGCGCGCAGTGCGTCGTTCACAAGGTCCGGTACTATTGTCATTGAACAATAGCATCGTTACGTGCGAGGTGAAGACGGATTGAGTCACACGACTATTGACGGAGCGACCACTCACAGTGCCCGCCAAGCCGATACTTCACTTTTCGTCACGATATAATTTCCTGTACACCAATTCCCAGCTGTCCCGCTTTCGACAACAACACTCACGTCAGGATATACGTATCGCCAGTATTGATAAGACATCCGGCAACGACCATCCCACACCTACTCTTGCAGGGCAAGATTTCACTTTCTACATTACGACACACATCAAGATGCCTAGCATACGGAGAACTCTCACCGCTGCGCTCGTCGCCTTCCCTGTCGCTATGGGCCACAGCTGGATCGAGCAAATGCGCAACATCAACGACAAGGGTGAATACGTCGGCCAATACGGATACCCCCGAGGATACGTCGCAAAGACCGACAATGGCTACAACGGAGATTCCATGAACTTTCTAGTTCCTCCTCTGACAGAGGGCGCTTACATCAGTAAGAAAACGGCGCTATGTCACCCTTCGCAAAGAAAGCCAGTACAGTCTCAGGAGAAGTACCCTCGTCTTCAAGCGCCACCCGGTGGCTTTGTCGCGCTGCGGTACATGGAAAATGGTCACGTCACAGAGCCTGCTAATCACATGCCTGGCAAGCCACCTGTCGAGGCGGGTGGCACTATATGGGTGTATGGGACCACTGAACCGAAGGAGGACGAGAAGATTTCCACAGTCATGGAGTGGACCAAAGACGGGAGTGGCGGAGACAAGCGTGGCAAGCTGCTTGCCGTGAATAACTACAACGACGGTCGATGCTACGAGATCAACAACACGCCCACATACAAGGAGCGTTCAAAGGAGTTTCCGGCCTATGCTTTCGGTCAGGCTGTCGAAGGCCAACCTGGCAACTACGCACAGTTCTGTGAAACAAATGTCCAGATCCCGGAGAGCGCTGAGCTAGGCAAGCCATACACCCTGTACTGGACATGGCAGTGGAACACTAGGCCTGGTGGCGTGAAGGAGGGCGGTGACGACGGTCTTCCAAAGGGCAAGAACGAGTGGTACACTACTTGCATGGACGTCGACGTCACATCCCCGGATGTTGCCCTGTCCGCCGATGCTTCGCCCAAGTTCGCTCTTGTCCAGCAAGATGCAGGCACAGCCGCCGTCTCCGACTTCGCCTCACGGACCGCTATTCTCACCGACCTTGCCAAGAACGAGTGGGACTTCCCTATCTTGACCGAGATTTCACTGCCAGGTGGAGGTTCCGGTTCTGGCTCCGGCTCTGGTGGCGAAGCTCCTTTCCCCACCAACAGCACTCCGCCCGCGGGTCCTACAGCTCCAGTCACCACCAGCGCTGTTCCCGTTCCAAGCGCTGCACCTCCAGCTCCTAGCAGCTCTCTTCAAATCTCTGCCGTAGTCCCTTCTGCGACCGCCCAGCTGCCATCTTCCAGCAACTCCGCGGCCTCCAGCGCTACTATGGAGATCCCAACACTCTCAGGCCGCCCCGGTGCCGCACCAACACCACCAGCCGGCGACAACGGCGTTGTCACAGTCACTGACACTGTCATGGTCACAGTCACTGCGCCCGCTCCAACAGCGCCTGTTGCTACTCCGCCCGCTCCCCCAGCAGTCGCTCCTCCAGCTATCACTCCCCGTGCAATGCACAGCATCTACCACAGGAATAGTGCCAAGTTTAGGGGTTTGTAGATGTTGAAGACTCGCCTTTGCTTTGTTTCTGTTACTGCATTTTCTTTTGTTACACACATACTGCGCCCTCCAGTGGCAGGCCACGGGTACTGATGACGGACACACATGATGATGACTGCATGAAAACGATTGCATGATCATGAAGGTTGGGAGGCTCTTTTTCTTTTTGCATCCAGCGATACCCCTTGCATACATATTGGCGTTTTGGGTAGCATTTCATGACCTGTACCCAGGTGGGTTGGTCAGGCGTTCATCAATAAAAGCAATCACAGGTTACTCACTTCCTCCGCGTCTTGTCATATCATAGATCGCGACTGTCTCGCTTCACATTCTCACTGCTACGAGCTTGTGTTACTGCCCCACGTGCAGCCACGTGTTCTGACTTCAACGTCTTAAGTCAGGCGACTTTAACGTGACGTCCACAACCTCGGCCGAAATATTGAGTACTTTTCGTGAACAATTTCTACCCAGACGCCGAGCCTCTCGGATCGCTTCCAGAATAGATGCGCGTATGCTCGGAGCATTATCCGCATCGACCCTTGCGAACAACTACGGTTCTAAAATGACGCAACGCCGTTCATTGTGACAAAGAGCCGAACGCACCTTTCCACTTGGGTCGCGGCCCGTATACGACCGTTACCTTCATCAAGATTCGTTGGCTCGGACAGCAAACTTACTCGTCATCTGTACTACGTCCAAAGCCATCAGGTCTAGACCAGCGGGATCGCAACGCGACGAACTTCCAGACCATCCGCACCCGTCAATCGCGCCCGTCCTCCTCCAGAACCGGGGAGCTGGGTCAATTTGCGTAAGGCTGAGCAAGTTTCTTCGGGTTACTTCACACATGGCTTCATTCCGATTTGTCCCCAACAGTCCGGCAGATTGTCCTCTCACATCGTACGGTTCGGAGCCTCTGCCATGTGGCTTTACAAGAGACGTTTGCGCTAGTTTCCATACCTTACAATAAGGGTGTGTATTCGCTGCGAACAGTATCTTGCAGTTGACAAAGCCACACAGAGCTCAGTACGTATACTCTTCACCGGTGGGAGGCAGCGTGAAGATCACTTGGAACAACTACTCGCTGTTCATACAGTATAGGTAAGACTTTGCGCCAAACTCACTGCCCGAGTTCCCCGCGGTCGACTGTTGGTTCGCATGAGATTCGACATGAGTGTGTTGGACGATCGCAACACTGAAGGATGTGTATAAGAGGGGAGATGAGATAGGACTATCGCTGTCTTCCTGCGAGACACTGAACAGAGTTCCTTGAGATACATTGACCTTCCTGTCTTGAATCATCGTCCCACCCAAATCAATCGAAGCCACTTCGACTCCCCCAACCACCGCCATGTGCCGAGACATCTACCGCCACTACGAACGCTGTGCTCACCACGAATACATCCAAGCCCCACCGTGCCTACACTTCCGCACCGGTCTGAACCAGATCAACGACCCACGCTACTTCAATCAACCCGGCATCCCTTATCGCCAATCTCGAAGGTGTCGCGAGCAGAACCAGATTGACTTCCGTCGCAACGCTTATTGCACGCCATGTATGATGACGAGGCAGGGTTGGAACTTTCGGGGGTATAACAGTGGGTTTGGGGGATGGCCGAGGTATAGACCGCAGGGGTTTTGAGGGATAGTGACACCTCTTACAAGTAAAAAGCTGAACAGACCTGCGGACTACATCAAGACAAGAACATGCGAAGTGGGTAACCCAACGTCAACGTAGGCTCCAGGGTGTTCATTTTCCCTAGGTTGACGTGACAGTGAGGTCACAGAGGAGGAAAGGTGGGAAGAATGTTGGTGTGAGAGGGTATTTAGTACTTGGAAAGATGCTCGAAGACTAGACATTTACCTCAATGTAGATGGAGTGACAAACTAGCTCGGCATCAGTGCACGCGTTTCGGATAGTGATAATCGAACTGCTTTCTCTCTTTTTAGATACACTCTGTCGCTGTATACACATCTTACTTTTCGATCGCGACTGCTCAGGCCCAGACTGTACGGCCTTGATCTTGCAGTGCACCACAAAGTGCATATCCCCATGGCTATGCCTTCCTCTTCCCTTCCTTCCTTCCATCCACCCAACATCTATCTCACCTTCTTAGTTACCTCTTCAACCGGCATAGTCCCCTTATCTGACTGCAGCATTGCCAGCGTAAACAGTCCAGTCAACGTCAACCACACATTCCCCCACACTCCAATGCTCATACTCGTATTGTAATGACTCGGCATCTTGTAATGCTGGTACGCGCCAATGCCCGTCGTGATGTGATGGAACACCGTCGCAGCCACTACCGCCTTCGCATACGGGATCGTGGTGAGCTTCGTAGCGGGCGCGGAGTTGAACGGTATGGCGTTGGTGAAGGAGATGAGGATCAGCGCGAGGGTGACGAGACACCAGCCGTCGTTGCGGACGTTGTAGGCTTCGAGGTCGTTGGGCGCCAGGTTTAGTTGCGATGGGGGCCGGAACCCTGTTGGTGTTAGTTTGTGGAATAGATAGTGAGCATCAGGGGATTGAGGCTTTGATGAGCGGGGTAGGAAGGTTGGAGAGTCAAGGTAACGTACAGCCGATTACCATGATGGGGTCGTACACGCGACACAAGCCACGCAGGCCGTACCAGAATGCTGTGCCATAGGCATACGCATGAAATACCTATGCCCACCAGTCAGCTCTCACCCATTCAATCGATCCAATGCCCCAAGAACAACTAACAGTTGAGTTAATAGAAGGCATGATGTCGCTACGAGTCAATTGCACAACAACAAAGCAACAATTGCGCAATAAGTTGAGAGGTCAGTAGACACGCGCGACCGCACCTTAAATGATGTTTGTTGACGTTCCTGGCAAGCTTCCGTACCTGCGACGTCATTATGAGAGCTCCAACAGCTCCATTGGTGTTGAGGGGCTGCAAGCCACGCCGTTAGCCTCCCCGTGGAACCGGAACATCGATCCGCGTAGCGCACCCGCACATGGATCGAAGATGAGATCGGCCGCGATACGATTGCAATGACGCTAAAAGCAGGGGTTAATCCGGCAATTGAATGTTCGTGGAGATGGTTTTGGGATGATGGTCGCGCACAATACGATCGTGAAGGGCAGCCTCGTGTTGGAAAAAGCAAATCTATCGGGGGTATCCACATTCTATCTCTTGCATCACCATGCTATCCTTCCTGCAACACTCCTCGCTGCCTTGACTTTGCCGACTCCAATCGTGCCCTCACCACCCAACCCTTGCATCCTCAAACTCGCATCAACAACCTCAAGCGCATACGCACTCTCAATAGGACCCAAGTCCAGAATGGTACCATTGTGCACCGCATTTGCGGCGGGGTTAACAATCTTCTCCACATCCTCCTTAACCTGCGGCAGCAACACAGCTGTAGCACCCAACCATCGCGCCAACAACCCCTTGAAAGAAACCTGATCGGTGTCGCACGGCTCCTCTGCGTCCTTGGCCTCGCACTTGCTCTCGAAAAGCGCGCCGGTATCCTGTTTAACGAAATTGCGCTTTGCGGAAGCGACAAACCCCTTCGTTCTTTCCGACCATTTCTCGTCTTTGGTGTGCACGGCCATGACAGCAGCGCCGTACATGTAGACGCCCACGTTGTAACTCCACATGTTGTGGTTTAGATCTGAACACCCGTTGTCTTCACTCGTGCCGTCGTAGACATTGAAGTCCTGGTCTACAAGTCCGACCTTTGTACTCCAAGCATATGTTTTCTCTGCCCAGGATAGGATCTCCGCATCTTTTGTGAGGTGCGCGATGCGGGCGGCAAGTTGGAAGAAAAGACCATTGGTAATGGCGTTCTTGTAGTGCCAGCCGTTCTGACCGTCTTCGCCGAAGTCTACTTTCCAGCGCAGGCCGCCGCCGCAAGTATCGTTGCCGTCGATCCAACGCTGCTTTTGCTGGTTGAAGACGTTCGTCGCCAAATCTACCCAAGCTACGGGTCCCTGCTGCGGGAGTTTCATCTCAGCGGCTGTTATAGCAGCGAGACCCCACCACGCTTGATCATCGTTGCCAGTCGCGTCGACGGTCATGAAGTCGTTCGCGGGGGTCGCTTGACTTAGGATGGTGGTCTTGAGAAGATCTTCATACTGGAGGTCGCCAGTAGTGGAGCCGTAGGTTAAGAGAGCTTCGACTGCGGTGCCGGATTGCCACCACCAGTATGGTTGAGGGAGGAGTGCCAGACCGGGGTTTGGGAATGAGACTTTGAGCGAGGCGGCGAGGGTGCTTGATGAAGATAGTAGGGCGGCTGGCGCTGGAGGCGATGGCGGTGGGGCTTGGATGGCGGCGATTTGCACAACGAGTGAAACGGCTTTGCTGAGGGTGCTCGGTATCATTTTAAAGGATTGAATCGGTATAATGGTATCGTAGAATGGAACGTGCTGATCAAAGCAAAAAAGAATGTGATTTGTGTAAAGAACGTACAGGTTCACTGAACCATATAAAAAACAACCAAAGAGTGTCTGCGCAAAAAAAGATGCGACGAACAAAGAATGACGGAAAAGGTGTCGAAGGGAGGGAAGAAGGACCAAGGACGAGGGCTGACGCGTAAAGATAATGAGATACCACTCAACCAACCCACAATACACAACTCAGCCTCAATCCAGCGCATAAAATGCCATTAGTTTCATCCATCTAGCATACTCGGCACCCACGCCGTGCCCCGACCCAAAATTAGCAGGTGTCACACATGCGCCTTGGCCTATCCACCCGCACGTGTAAATGAACAAATGCCATGCATGTGCGTTGTCGATAAGAAGAGTTCTCTGGGCTTTCTGCAGAAATCTCCTGATCGACAACTAGGAAGGGATGGTCTAGAACGGATTCGTTGTTATCTGAAACGCGACGCGACGACGTTGCGCGATGTGATTCGTCGGGTATTGAGAACACTGGAGAGGCCGAGAGGACGCAGAGAATTGGGCGGTAGGGGTCGGAAAGATCGGATCTGCTGCGATAGAGCCTGAATTGGCGTGGTGAATGGGGTCT